AAAAAAAAAAGGCAGAATGAGGGAAAAATATAAAGCATGTCATGTACATACTCTAAGTATTTATACTTCATCATTTGTTTCTGCTTCAAGAACCTAAATGGTAGATGATAGTGTAAAATAATTTCTCCCACCTTGCAAAAAAAAAAAAAAAAGGTCGAGTGGGGAGAAAGAGGAGCAGGAGGAGAAAGAGAAATGTTTACCAAATTTTATTCTGAAATATTCTCTTTTGATCAATTTTATATTTGAAAGAAACTATACTTAGAAAACAACAAATCTTAAAATAGTAGAAGAATAATGATTTATAGAATTAGCCAAGGTTTTATATAATCTATCTTATACTTCCTATGCACAAATATTTTTTTATGATTAAATTACAAATCTGTTCAACTGCAAAACCTGATCTTAAAATACATTTCAAAACTGTTAGAAATAGAACAAAAATATTTGCTTGGAAAATTATATTCTAAATCTACTTAAAGAAGAAAAGTTGGTTCTTTGAGTAGTGGATAGCTGACTTATGTTGCATTTGATTAAAAAAAATTAACTAATGCAGAAAATTAATGTCTCCTGGTAATCAAGTAAAATTGAGAGCTGAAGAGTTTAGCTATGTAGTATAGAAGAAATACACATTACACATTTAGTATAAAGCAACTTTGCTATCTAATATTTTAGTATACAAATATAGAAAGTTTCTTAATACACTAATTTGTTAGCCAAATAAAATATAAATTTCTTTCATGTTTATATTTTATTTTATAAATGCCAAAGGACAGAAACTGACCTTTCTTCTTCCAAGTAAGATTTGGAGGTGGAATACCATTAGATTCACACAACAGACTAATGAGATTCCCTTCAATAACTGTAAGTTGAGTAAGTTCATCAGAACCATAAATATTTGGTGGTACTGAAATAAAAAAAAAAAAAAAAAAGAAACTATTTTTTGCTCTTATTTCATATGAACTTCCCTTACCATGTTGCATGCAAGAAAAAATGTTTTAACCATATAACACAAGGAAAGAATTAATACATGAAGTTTACATCTATATATCACATTAAAAATCACCTATAAAATATAAAATTAATACATAATGGCAGATTTTCCATTTTAACAGGTAAGAATATAATAATCACCATATTTAGAGTAATAATGTAACATAAAAAAGCTAATATAGGTATTTCAAAACCTTACATCAAATGACCAAAGCACTATTAACTTAAAAATTACCTGAGCCATTATTACATAGGCAGGCTTGACATCTCAGATGTGGAAAAGGATTAGAAAACATCCGGCATACAGTATAAAGAGATTAAATCTAAGACACAAGAATGTTAGCTCCCACATCTACTGCCACTGCTTCAGTGGCCATTAATACAAACACTTTCAATTCTGTAACTATAATGCAGATTCCCTCTTGAGATGCAGGGGTATAGCCAACTGACTGCGTGACAACTCAATTTGAGTACCTTAGAGGCATTGTCAAAGTCTTCCTGTCCAAAACTGTACTCATCTCACCTTTGTCCCCTCTCTAAGGGAAGACAGTACCATCCCTACAGTCCAGCTGGTCAAGCCCATGCAGACATCCATCCCTGACTCCTGTTTTCTCATCTCTCCATCTAATCACTTTATCTTATTTGAGTCAATCTCCTAAACACTTGTAGAATTTATCGACTTCCTTTCTAAAATGCAAGTCTGACCACCTCAGTCCTCTGGGTGAAAAGGGTTAAGTTCATGACCAGTAGCCAAAAGGTTAGCAGTGTGAATCCACACAGAGGCACCCTGGAAAACAGGCCTGGTGACCACCTTGAAAACCCTATACAGCACTTCACTCTGTACATACGGAATCTCTATGAGTTCAAATCGACTTGATTTCAACTAACACTGCTAACAACCATGCTATTCCACTGTTAGAATCCAATCCATGCTTTTTAAATTGGTTTAAAAGGCTTTCTTCTGCTCTACTAGTCTTTATACTAGGAGCCCTGGTAACACAGCGGTTAAGTCCTTGGCACTTACTAACAACAACAAAAATCTGCTTCAAGCTTTTTAAAATGACAAATATGATCAATAATTTACAAGTCATTTTTGTACATAAATGCATGCTTCTAAGGTTTTCCAAAAATATCCTCCATTGAAATCAAACTGTTTTCCCTACTTAATAATTTTTTTTAATATTATGAATATAAATTTTATACATAATAGTCAATTTCAGCTTAAGGTTTCAATTAATTAAAATTTAAGCAAACACAATAAAAAATTAATAAAAGCTTAATATGTCTTAAATGAATTTTAAAATAGTATTTAATATAAAGCTGTTCATATCCACCTCAGAAACCGTACTGTTGTTGTTTTTAAGTGCCATCGAGTTGGTTCTGACCCATAGTGACCCTGTATAGAGTTTCCAAGGAGTGGCTGGTGATCTTGAAGCGCTGATGCTGAGGTTCAAACAATCTTGTAGCCCATCACCTTAACCCACAGCACCACACCAGGACTCCCAGAAACCCTATACAGGGTTGCTATGAGTCAAACAACACTCAACAACAATGCTGGAAATAGAAACGCTTTTAGCTGAAAGCCACGTTGAGGTAAAAGTTGTGATTATGATAATTATTTGCTAATACAAGAGCTTTGCTCCTTGGTCATCAGAGTAATCTCATCTCCTACCACACATGCATTCACACTCATGCACACACATGCACACATGAACCTGATACATAATTCTGATAGCATGGATCTACCAACCAAAACAAAATGGAGAATGCTTAGTTACTACGTCTCAATAAATGAGGACCCTGGAAATAAAGAAGTTAGTTTAAAAATTAGCTGAGATGACCTCACTGTCCTAGAAGGAAAAGAAGTGCTTTAGCCCACTCAGACAGTTATCTCAGAAACTAAGAAGCTATGACCTTAAAGGTAGAATGTTTGAGGAAATTTATTGCCTTATTGTTTATTTTTCCAAAGAATGCTGTACTGACATTAGAATAGATTAAGTGTACATCCAAATGTTGTTGTTAAGTACTGTGGAGCCGGTTCTGGCCTCGTAGTGACCCTGCACAGGGTTTCCGAGGCTGTAAATCATTATAGGAGCAGAAAGCCTCATCTTTCTTCCGCAGAACAGCTGGTAGTTTCGAACTGCTGACCTTGAAGTTAGCAATCTGATTCGTAACCATTATGCTACCAGAGCTCCTTACCCTATATAATGTGCCCGTTCTTGTGATGGACAGTCTTGAGAGATTATTCTCCCTGTCCTCCAGACTGCGGGCTATCTGTTAATACAGCTTCTATAGGATTTCTCCCCTTCTCTGTGATTGACTAAAGTGACAGGCAGCAAAACCTTGTTTCAATTTGGCAACAAATCCACGCATAATTTGGCATATTGACTTATTTTCAATTGGCTAACCCCACCAGAAGTTCCTTGCAAACCTTATACAGAGTTGCTTTGAGTCCAAACTAGTAGGATGGCACTTAACAGCAACAACCCATTACTGGAGAGTTGTTGAAACTCCTGGAGAGTTTCAATCCTCATGAGATCCTAGTTGTAGCAGCTAACAGGCATATTACTCAGATAGGAGAGGAGTGTTGTACCATATAAAAATTATAATGACTAGCATGTTTAGGCTAAGGAAGCCTATCTATAGTCACTCTTGAATTAATCATATAAATCAATATACAGAACAGTTCAACAGAATCTATAGGATTTACTAGTACCCACTTATGTATTACAATCACTTTGAATTCTGTAGATGTAATTTTAAGAACTGACTGAAAGAATAAAAGGGTAGGCCACAGGCCATGCCTTTCACTTTACAGGGATGTGCTCATACCTACCCCAGATGTTGACATTATAGTTTTTTTCAGTTTTTCCAGCAACATTTGTTGCCTCACAAGTATAACGACCAGTGTCCTGTACTTGAGCATCTTCAATCTGAAAACAAAGTCATGCTTTTAAACCAAAGTTTCTATTTCACAAGTAACTGGAATTTTCTATAAAGTGTCTGTATTATTTTTATTCTGAAAAAAATTTTTAAATAGAAAAATTAGAGAGAATGGTAAAATGAGTGGTTTATACTCACTAATAAGATCTAACACTTTTCAAGATTTCACAATTTTCACCTATGTCATACCTCATTTTAATCGAGTATATGTTAGTGGCTGAAGGTCTAAAAAAGCTCTTTAAATAAAATTCAAATAAGAAACAAAAAAATTTTCTGTCAAATATTTTAGGGTTTTCACATATATAATCCTTATATGTCCAAGACTTTGTTTAGTAAAATAACATTCTTAATATTAGTTTATATGTCTTTTCTCCAAACTGGGGTCATAAACGTCCTCAAGTCAGTCAATATATTTAATTATTATTTTTATTTTATTAATCTCCTAATCTCCAGTTTGGTAATTGGTAGACAATTGATACCAGAAAATATTTTTCCATCTACTTGTATCTGCAACATTCACTAATACTAATTCATCACTCATTCATTCACCCTTCAGTGGTTAATGGGGACTTTTGCTAGACAATGAAGGTAGAAAATATGAAACAGTATAATGTACTATATGGTTTCTGATTTAATGAGTTCACGTACAGTTAAAAAGATAAAACATGTCAACATAAAAAAGTTTAATAATAACATTAAGTGAAAATAAAAATACAAGTTAATACAAGAAGTATGACAAGTAGTATGTGTTTGGATGCCAAATGAGTTTTCAATCAATAATTGTTAAAACATCCAAAAAAAAAGGTGGGGGGGGGGGCTACTGGGGTTGGAATGATTGCTGAAAGGATTTATCTTAGTAAGGATGCGAAGTAGGTACTCAGTAAACAATTACTAGTTGATTAATGTGAGCAAATAGAGCTGGAATTTAACTAAAGCACAGATAGAAAATCCAAGAATATTAGACCTGGACAAGTACTTAAAATCCAACCCCCTCATTTTACAGAAAAGATAACTCAGAGTCAATGATGAAATTTAAATTGACCAAAGTCTTATAATTATTGGCACAACCACTGAAATTCAGGTACCAGATCTGTAAAGTCCCTATCTACAAGCCTCCATGTATCATCAAGAGAATCAACAAAATAGAGGGCAGGGATTAACATTTATTAAGTGCCTATTGGTGTGGCACTGTAGGAAAAGCACTGAACTGCTAACCGCAAGGTTGGTGGTTCAAACTCACCAGCCACTCCTCAGAAACCTTATGCAGCCTTAGATGAGCAGAACTGACTCAATGGCATTTAACAATAACAACAATTGTATGCCAGGCAAAATAAACTGGTAAGATTCCGCTACTTGATCAGGTCAAAGATATGTGAAAATTGCTTTAAATACGCATAGTACATACTCTAAAAAAACTAGGATAATTTTTACTGACCAATTAGGTTTGAATTCTGTAGTTTTCATTTCCCTTGGGTCTCCCCTACTTTCCTCAATGTGACCTGTACACTGGTCTCCTGCTTACTCCAGGCTTCAGGTTCAAGGGGTTTCAGGATTTCTTCACTATCATCTGTCTCCTTCCTTCCCAGTCCCACTGAGATCTGAACTCTGAAGATAAATGAATCCTATTCCCATGGAGATTCAGTAAGATATTTGGTAAAGTGGAGGGTCAGATAAAAAGAGGAAGACCTCCAAAGAGATGGATTGGCACAGTGGCAACAGCAATGGGCATGTAGCAATGATTGTGAGGCTGGCACAGGACTGAGCAGTGTTTTGTTCTGTTGTGCATAGGGTCGCTATGAGTCGCTACCAACTCAATAGCACCTAATAACAACAATCACACAGGGTTCTCCCTAGCAGGGCTGGGACCCGTGTTCATACAATTGTATCCCCCTATCATTCAGTCAGAATTGAGATTTGAGAATTTGGGACCATGCATGTTTTTGCTCATGCAACTTGATTGCCTTAGTCTTCTTCCTTCCATCAGTGATTTTGATCCTTCCTTCCTCATGCAACTGCATGATTACAAGATCTTAACAATCAAGGTCTTTATTGTCTTGCTTTTAACATGAACTCTCATGGCTTCTTGCCACTCTCTCTGAGTAAGCTGTGAGTTCTGCATTTCCTAGGCACTCCGTTTCTCAGGAATCACTCTGTTTGCCAGTTATGCAGTGTAGTGCTTAGTAGCATGGACTCTGAAGCCTTATTCCCTGTATTCAAGTCCTAGTTCTGTTACTCAGTAACTGTGGGAAGATTATTTAGCCTTTTCAATCTTTCAATGGAGTCACTATGAGAGGTATATAAACATTCCAATGATTTACTGATTTTCTGATTTCCCCCTTGCACTGTCTTTCAATGTCAACTTTTATTTCACTCAAATCAACCTTGCCAACTTTATTTCCAACTACTAATTTTGCTAAATTCTGTTTCAGCCAAAGTAGCTTACTCACCTTCCCTAATCAGCCCTTTTTGTCCCATTTGTCTTTACAGAGTCAAGTAGCCTTCTAAGATTTGTCAGCCAAATACAGCCTCATCTGTGCTGTCATCCTTGTATACAGCATCTGTACCACCCACATGACTATGAACTCAGCCTTCTTGTACTTAATGTAATTTTTAGTGGACTGTTTGTTATTTAACTTTTCATAATAATGGGAAATTAGAAGACACTCAAAAACAGAAAATGTATCTTAAATTTTCTTGTGCATCTATCCTGGTACATAGAATGGGTATTTGATGATTAGTTGACTGACTGAAGATAAGGCATGCTTTAAAGCATTCTGCAGTCATTTCCTGGGTGCATGTTTTTAGATGGTTCCTAGCTACAAATCTTAATAGATAACTGAATATTAAATTTACTCAAACATAAAACTGAAAAAATATAAATATCAGCATGAAATTGTCCCTGGACTTTTATAACATGAAATTAGTGGAATATTCCTAAAAGACAGATAATTTTAATAGGGAATAATACCTAAACCAAGGCCCTCTGGTGGCTTAGTGACTTATGCATTCAAAGTCATCAGTCTGAATCCACCAGCTTCTCCTTGGGAGAATAATAAAGCTCTCTGCTCCCTTAAAGATTTTGGCTTCAGGTACCCTAAGGAGCATTTCTATAATGTCTCACAGGATTGTTATGAGTTGACATTGACTTGATGGAAGTAGGTTTGGTTTAATATCTAAACTATGAGTTTAAGAACAACATAAGAAGAAATAAGTGAATGAATAGCCTTACCTTCAGCACACTTCCATTTCCAGAAATACTGAGACCTGGTTTCTTCAATAAAGGACGGCCATCTTTTAACCAAGTCAGAGCAGGTGGGGGAATAGCATCACTCTGACACAGTAACTCCACAGCTTGGCTAATGAGGATAGAGATGTTCTGTTCTTCTCCCATAATGTTTGGAGGTACTAAATGAAAGATGGGTCTTCCCTCAGGATAAAACAGGCCAGCGTACTGTTTATCTTCATTAGAAATCACAATGTATATTGAATAACTTTATTGGTTCTTTCAAGATGTAGGATTATAACCATTCTAACATACCCTCTTTGCATTATCAGTTTATAATCAAGTATTAATAACAGACTAATAACAGATTAATGTGTTTCTGTTGAACAGAACCAAGTTCTCAGAACTTTTCACTTAGAAAATGTTTAGTATTAGAAGTTCTTCCCAAATGTACATTTAAGGAATGCTGCTTCTTACAATTTCTAAAACAACAAATTACTTATGAGATAATTTGGAAATAATAACTAATTAAAAGCAAATACACTTTCAACATGAATTTATATTTTTTTGTTTTTGCAAAAGAGGGAAATTTCATTGCAGCAGAGAAGTAAAAGGGCTCTGGTGTGGCCTTATAGGATAAGCATTGGACTATTAGCTACAAGATCAGTGGTTCAAACCCACCAGCCCATCTTTTGAAAGCCTATACAGGGTTGTGATAAGTTGGGATTGATTCAATGGCACACAATAACAACAATAGTGAGAGAAAAAAACTGAAAGGGATCATGGAAATCATCTTGAATGACAAACATAATGGCTTAGTCAAGATACCATGACTAATGTTGACAAAGTTAGAAGTTCTTTGGACTCACAGTTTAATGGTTTCTACTGTTTCCCATACTGTCTGTCAACTTTCTATAGAATGAAATCGTGTGAAATCAATCACTAAATAAAAGTCCAAGCTAAATCACTGGCCAGTTGAACACTGTACTTCTTTGTACTTATGATTACATACAAAGAAAAAATTAGTTGAAACTTTAATGAGATGAAAATGAGAATTCCCTAGCTATCAGAATTGTCAGGTGCTGAACTGTGTTTAATACACCTTTGGGTGTATTGAAGCATAATCAACCATTTGTCTTAGAAGGTTTAAGTGCAGGTCTGTCTAAAGTGAAATGGTAGGCTCCATTATCTTTCAAAGATTCTTTTAGGCCTGTTAGTATAATTCAGAAAACACAGAAATGGATGAACTCAGGTCTATTATACGAGCACAGAGAGAAATTTCCTTCACTATTTCTCACCGGAACCTGTAACTTACTCAAGCTTGTCGGAAGCAACATATTTATAGAAAAGTTACACTAATTTTAAATCACCTTGAAATGGCTACTAAGGAGCTTTTCAAATATTTTGGTCAAAATAAGGTTTCTGTCATAAGGAATATTAATGAATTCCATTAGTATTGTTTCCAGTCTGAAAGCCAACATAGTAGCAAACATGACAATGAACATACATAGCAAACACTGGCTTGTAGCATAGTATGAGTATTTCTGTAATTGTGAGATTTCTATGCTACTACGTCTGTGACAGAGGAAAAAAGAACATGAACTAAAAAGGACATTTTCATATGCTGTTTCTGGACACACGACTTAAGCTAAACTTCAAGGAGCTGTTGTTAAAGTTAGAAATACCCTGCCCAATGGCTGGAATGGCCCAAGAGAGCATGCGTACAGAGATGCATGAGGATCTTTCTATTAAATTTAATAGTACACACACACATCTGGCTTGTGATAAACTTAATATATACAGAAACATAAAACAGCCAGAATGCTTTGGGTATGTAATATATTAAATAAAAACATTCCCCGTCTGTTTGAGATTAAAACTACTATAACATTAACAACATAAGCACAATTAGTGCCACTTTCTAAAGTATCATGAAATCAGATACACTTTTCTTAGTCAGGAAGGCCTGAACTGAACACCTGATTTCATAACTTGGAAATAACTTGGGGTAAAGTCTGGTCTCATTAGATAACAAAGGACCATAACTGTATAAAAATATGTTTATTTTAGATTATTGCAGAATTTACAAAATAGCATGAATTCTTTATGGCTGTTTATAGAAGTGAAAGTCAGAAACAGTTCAAGACAGCAGAATGCTAATTTATTTCCAAATAGTTTTCTTTCAGTTACTTTTCTTTACAGTTAAATGAGTTGAATCAAGTTAAAAAGAAAGCCAGATTTTTAAAACTGAGAGGAAAAAATGCTAAAACAATAGAGTATTTGTTCTTTAAAGAACGTAAATTAAAGCAAATCTAATTATAGCTGAGAATATATAGTACTGAAACACATCTATTTTTTATGTCCTGTCTCTCATTTCCAAGTTTTTGTTTAGTCTGAGACAAGAATAAGCTTCTACCCTTTAGATCTTTAGCTTCCTTAGATCTTATCCCTATTTTGTTTTGTGGTTATGTTGCTTAAGAAAGGGTGTACTCTGGACCAATTTATCATCCTATGCTTTATACCTGTTAAATTTAATTACCAAAATTAGAATCGCCAAAAAGTTATATTTGTTGAGTGGGAAGTGCGGTGCTCCATACAATAAGCACTGGACTGCGATCCACAAGGTAAGTGGTTCAAGTCCACCAGACCCTCCAAGGGAGAAAGATGAAGCTTTCTGCTACCACAAAGATTTAAACCTTCAAAAACCATATATAGTGTTACTATAAGCCAGAATCAACTTGATGATATTTAACAACAACGACAATACTTGTTGAGACACCAGAGAATGTATGAAAAAAAGCTCTCTGAACTTAAGTTTTAAAAAAAGACATCATAGGAACCCAAAACATTTTAAAACTCAATTCTCTTGTCTCAGTATTTCAGAATATGGCAAAATATAATCAAAATTTATATTAGGGAAAAATGCTTTCATGAACTACTCTTGTAATTGTAATTAAAGCTTTCTACTTTCCACTTTCTTTTCTACTTTCTTCTTTTCCTACTATCCGTATACTCAACAATGTAAATCAGATGAAGACTTTATTCTGAGGATTAATATCCATTAGAGTACAATTAAGGAGCTCTGGCAGCACACTGATTAAGCACTTGACTGATTGCTAACATAAAGGTCAGCAGTTTAAACACATTCCGTGGCTATGAGAAAAGACCTGGTGATGTGTTCTTGTAGAGATTTCAGCCTAGCAAACACCATGGAGCAGTATCTGCTCTGTCAAATAGCATAGCTATGGGTCAGACTCCACTTGATGGTATACAACAACGATAAAAACAGAGTCCACTTAGGTCCAAGATAACCAAGGTTACTTGTTGTTGTTAGGTGCCATCGAGTTGGTGCCAACTCATAGCGATCTTATGCACAGCAGAACGAAACACTGCCTGATCCTGTGCCAACCTCACTATTGTTGCCACACTTGAGTCCATTGATGCTGCCACTTGGCCAATCCATCTCACTGGGTGTCTTCCTCTTTTCCTCTGACCCTCCACCTTACCAAACATGATATCCTTCTCCAGCGACTGGTCCCTCCTGACAACATGTCTGAAGTATGACAAAGTTTGGTCATCTTGGGCTCCATGGAACACTCTGGATGCACTTCTTCCAACATAGATCTGTTGGGTCTATGGGCAGCCCATGGCATTTTCAATATTCTCATCTAATACCACAACTCAAAAGCATCAATTCTTCTATGGTCTTCCTTATTTACTGTCCAACTTTCACGTGCATATAAGGTTACTGAAAATACCATAGCTTGGATCAGGCATACCTTAGTTCTCAAGCTGACATCTTTGCTCTTCAACACTTTAAAAAGGTTTATGCAGCAGATTTGCCTAATGCAATACGTCATTTGATTTCTTGACTGCTGCTTCTGTGAGTGTCGATAGTTGATCCTCAAGAAGAATGAAGAAATCCTTGACAACTTCAATCTTTTCTTCATTGATAAGAATGTTGTTTATTGGTCCAGTATTGAAGATTTTTGTTTTCATTACACTGAGATGCAATCCATACCAAAGGCTGTGCTCTTTGATTTTCATCAGTAAATATTTTAAGTCTTCTTCACTTTCAGCAAGCAAGGTTGTATCATCTGCATATTGCAGGTTGTTAATGAGTCTTCCTCCAATCCTGATGCCATGTTTTTCTACATATAACCCAGCTTCTTAGATTATTTGCTCAGCATACAGGTTGAATAAGTATGGTGAAAGAATACAATACTGTCGTACACGTTTCTTAATTTTAAACCATCCAGTGTTCCCATGTTCTTTTCGAACAACTGCCTCTTCATCCATGAGCAGAATCACATGTTCGGGAATACTCATACTTTGCAAACAATGTTGTCCATAGCTTGTCATGATCCACACAATCGAAAGCCTTTGTGTAGTCAATAAAGCACAAGTAAACATCTTTCTGATATTCTCTTCTTTCAGCGAAGATCCATCGTAACCAAGGTTAATACTACTACAAAAAAGAACATAAAGTATGGAAGAAATACAAATGGTTGTTTTTTTGGTCGTGGTTGTGTGCCATCAAGTTAGTTTTCACTCACAGGGACCCTGTAAAGGTCTGCTGAGGTGGTAAATCTTTATGGGAGCAGAAAGCCTCATCTTTCTCCTATGAGCAGTTGGTGGATTAGAACCACTGACATTGTGGTTAGCAGCCCAACATAAAACTCACTCTGCCATCAGAATTCCAGAAAGTATATATTGGAAACTAATTTCATATTAAATATCTGTTGTAATTTTATAATTCTCCAATAATTTGCCATGCATATATATTTCAAATGCCAAAGTATATATACAGATATACATAACAGTTCACCATTTAACTTTTAAACCAGGAGGAAAGATCCTGGCTCTCAGCCTAAAGGGGAAATATAAAATTATCCTAGCAAATGATAAAGAATAGTGATGTACATTTCTATAATTTCTGGAAAATTATTAATTCTTTATCATCTCACAGTCTCACTTTGAAACTAACTAATGGAGAAATGGAAGGATCCAACCCTAGATTTTTACTACTGACTAAAACTTAGTCATTATCAATGTCACTTTCCATATGTGCCTAGAGAATCGGTTATGTCACATACTTAGGCTAACTGATGAACCATTCTCTAAGGATATTTTATATTGGCAACCTTCTAGCTCTTCATAGAGCATGAAAATAACCCATGAAAGAAGATAGTTAGACTACTCGAGATTGGACAAAAAAATCTCAGATATATCAGAATGGCAAACTGGGAGGTGGACATAGACCCATGCCAAGTGACATCGGTAGAGAAAAGGGGAATGTCGAGAGTTATTTGTGATCATTAAATTTTCCTTGGGAAGATTTACAAATTAATCCACATGGTCTATAGGAAAAAGATTAAGTTTTATAAGATCATTGTTGTTGTTGTTACATGCCATTGAGTCAGAGGCTCTGTAAAGGGTTTCCGAAGAGTGATTGATGGGTTTGGACAGCTGACCTTGTAGCTTACAGTCCATTGCTTATTCTACAGTGCCACACCAGGATTCGAAGTCAATCATTTGGGGGCAAGTTAGACTTTAAGGGATGAAACCTCTACTACCAATTTTCTAGAGACCTCAGAAGAAACAATTTCAGTATACATTTAGCAAGAGATGAAATACAAGGAACTTATTAGAAAAAGACAAACCATTCTAAATGTTAAGAATTTGCTGAAATGTAAAATGATGAAAATAATCCATGGCTGGATCTCACTGAGGTTCTGATTTTATTCTAATAGAAATTTGCTGTGAAATTACCTTATGAATACATTGTGAAAGAAGAACAAACAAACAAAAACAACACCTTTAATTTTGTCTAAATTTATGTTTAGCAAACTTGGCTTTTCTTTTAATTAATAGACATTGATTTCCAAAATAGCTTATTGTAAATATAGAAATATAGTCAAGGCTTTTCATAGAATTGGTGAAGAGAGCTACCTAAAAAGATACTTGTTTTGGTGATGACATTTTATCTTCCAAAAGCAGAGATGCTATCCATGTTCTTCAAAGTATTCTATAAAACCAAGTCCCTCAGTGTTTAATGTATGCTTCTTTTAATGTCTCACAATTTTAAAAAAGGAAAATCAGTCAAAATCAAATATAAGGCAGAAAGGTAAAATTTGATTTGAATTGATCCTGTAATATTATACTTTCTATAGTTCATGGCTCTTTGTTGTCAACAAGTTATCTTAATTTCCTCTATGCCTTAGGACCTAAACATAAACAACACATCTGTATCAGAGCAGAAAGAATTCTGCAAATGTCTCACCATACACTCTGAGGTCAATATCCCTTTGCTTCTCCCCAGCAGCATTCACTGCCACACAGGTGTATCTCCCCGAATCACTGATTTGAGTGCTAGTCAAGGCTAGGATGCGACCCCCAGAGAGAACCTGTCAATGACAAGAGTGCAAAATAACAAATATAGCCCTGACAATGGTCAATGTAAACAGAAGGTTTTTCTCATTTTATGAGGTGGATCAATCAACATTTGCTTCTAGGATTATAGTTTTAGGATTGTTAAACTGAGAACACATCATGCCCTTCTCTCCTTACTTGTGAAAAAAATCTCAGTCTTGAGCTAAACCTGATAGTAACTACTGAAAACAAATAAGTATATACAGAATCAAACGAAGGTCAAATTTCATCTGTACTTATTATAGACACATCTGTGAGGGACAGAAGTTGGGAATAAGTGGAAATAAGAGAAATCAATTATCTTTCTAATTTTCTTTAAATGAACAAGTTAGAAGTTAAAATTAACAGAGAAGTAGTAACCAAATTAATTAGCCACATCTACTGCCCTTCTGGAGTCCTGGTGTGTGTGGTACCATAGGTTAATGTGCCAGACTGCAAAGCCGTTTGAACTGTAAGGTTGGCAGCTCAAGCTCACCAGCTGCTCCTCAGAACCCCTATACAGGGTCGCTATGGTTTGGAGTCACCTCAACGGCACTCAACAACACTAACAACTGCCCTTTTGTTCCACTGATACAATTGTTAGGGATCACAGTTACCGCTAAAATATTGCCTATTACTATGATTCCTAAGGGAGTCCTGGTGTGGCACTGTGGGTTAATGTGATGGACTGCAAGCTTGGTTTGAAGTGCAAGGTCAGTGGTTCAAGCTCACCAGTCAACTCCTCGGAAACCCTACACAGGGTCACTATGAGCCGGAACCGACTCCATGGCACTTAACAACAACAACGATGATCCCTACTTGGTGTACAAATGATTTTCAGAAAGGATAAAGAACTAGAATGTTAGACAACTACATTCTCTGAAGGGCAAAACAAAATTAAATCAAATTTTAAATTACATATGAAGGAGCTTCAAAAAGCTCATGAAAAAAATGGAATTAAACATTAATGAAGTGTGTGTGGGGGGGAGGTAGAATCCCCACTGAATAGTTTTCATCTTGTCTAGACAGGTCTGGTGAAAGAAGATGGGAATAAAATTCTTATGATTCAATAGTGAGTAATTGTTATCATGACTAATTGCTACTGTCACAACTGTATAGGTAAAAGTTTTGTAACAAAAAGAGGGGAGTAGTTAATCCTACAGTGCAGAAACAAAGAACCCTAGGACCATAAAAGGAGAAGAGCATGAGTAGAATGTGGAACCCTATCCAAAGAAGCAGCTACACCAGAGATAGAGGCAGAGATGAGGGCATGGAGAGAGAGAGCAGCTGAGGACTCTAGACTCATGAAAAGAGAAAGGCTGTGTGATGGCAGCCAGGTGTTGGAGGCCAGGAGGCAGGCTTGCAGAATGTGTCCTTTGGTTATTTAAATGATTATATATTCCTGAGAGATTCTGTGTACATTACTGCCCCCTCAAAAACAAAAACAAAAAAACAGAGGGAATAGGAGCAAATACTGTTGAATGATGATGCACAGAGGAGATTGTAATGATTGCAAGGAAATGATGAGTGTAACCTCCATGTAAACTAATCACTCAATTGACAATGAAATCTTAAAAAAAAAAAAGTTAATGAAAAATTTCCATGAGTTATTTGAAGTCCCTTTATATATTGCTTACTGTATTTTAGAATTTTCAGCCAGTATAATACACTTAAAATAATTTTTATCTAAGACTCAAATTTCATATCTAATGACTGCACATTTTCATTTTTCTTATTTGATGTTTTTTGAGAAGCAAATATCCTGCTCTATAAGGTTCTCCTATTCATTATTATTTCCAGATATTATAATATAATTGTATTATGAAATTGCTGTTTTTATTGTTAGTAACCATTTCTTTCTGTAAGGTATCCTTATAGTGCAGGTAATAAGAATTCTGAGCAAAAATGACAAGAACGTACAACAAATGGTCAAAATACGAATGTAAAAGTACCAACATGTGAGGTAAGAAGAACATTCAAAAGATGATGACTCAAAATAGTGAATTTTTAATGAATTGTTTTGAAGATCTTATTGTGTGTCCCTGGTATTTGTGTATGCAAGTTCATACATTTTAAAATAACATTTGATAATCATTGTTCTTCAGATCTCTTCAGGAGTTTTGCCTGTTTGTACTTCTTGTATTAAATTATTACGTACTCGATTTCACCAAAGAAACTAACAAGAGTACCTGAATTCCATTAGCGAAACTAGACACCGGGCTCCCATCTTTTAACCAGGTGAGACTTGGAGCGGGGATACCTCTGGCTTCACATTCTAACCTCACCAGATTATTAATCACCACTGCCACCATGTTACTGCTGCCCGAAATCGATGGGGGCACTAAAAAAAAGAAGTGATATGTCAACATCACAAAATATTTCATTTCAAGGTATTGAAAACCATATGCAATTTTCTTTAAAGGGTCTTTCTTTTTTAAGATCTTTTACAAGGACTTTTGTTGGTGCAAATGTTAATCACTTGGTTGCTAACTGAAAGATTAGTTGTTCAAATCTAATCAGTGGCTCCACAGGAGAAAGGTCTGGAGATGGGCTTCCTTAAAGATGAAAGCCAAGAAAATCTTATGAGGCAGTTTTGCTGTCACATGGAGTCGCTATGAGTCAGAATTGACTCCATGCACCCAACAACAATAAAGGTGTTTTATATCTCTTGTTTAAGATTGTAATCAGAGACATTGTAAAATAAGAAGGGAGGACAAGCCTTAATATCTCCATTAATCCACCAGCTGCTCCTCAGAAACCCTATAACAGAGTTGC